AGGTGGGGTGGGGTAATTATATTATATTAGAATTAAATATTTAATAATAAATTGATTTAATAATTCATTAATTATTAATTAAAATTTTAAAAAACCTGATTTGTGAATTTTCAAACTTATTTTTGTACTTTTGAAAAGGTGTAAAGTAAATACCTTAGAAATGCATTGTTCCCATGATGAATGCAGTGGAGGCCCACGAACAAAGTAATATCATCGCTCAAACTTGCAAGAAACCCAGAATCTGAGCGAATGGAGTGTCTTACGATCACCCAGAGCGATGACCCTATTCTCGCCCAAAACTTTGAATCGCCCAGGATCTTGGCAAATATAAAATATTATGTTTATCCAGAACAGCAGTTACTAAAGCAGTTATTGAGCAATCTCATCACACCCCATGATCTAAGGATCCCAGTTGTAGACGGTTGAACGATAAGAGTAATTACAACGATTAGAGACGGCAGTTCCACGACAAATTAGTCATCATGAAGAAAGTGGGTATTTATAGAGCAATCAAGCAGTTACCAAGCGGTTTGTCATGAAAAAATTCTCAAGGAAGAATAAAAAATAAGAGAAGACATAGAGAAAAGACCCCGAATCAAACACTCAAACAGAGAATATGTAACTTTAATTTCTTAGCTTAAATTTAAACACTTCTTTTAGTACTTGTGTGTTAGCGCTCATTGGAGACATTCTGTTTATTTCCAATTGTAAATCATCATCAATAAAATACTCATTTTTGGGACTTTGTCTTAAGAGGTATGTTCCTTACACAATCGTCTGAATCTTTTTTAATTGTTAACGACAACCCTCGCAAAACAGTTTGAATTGAGTTAGGGTACGGATTTGTCTAAAGCGAACTTCAATCCTTTTGAAGTGCAAATTAATAATAAGATGCTTTACATCAGATAAAGTAGCCGACCAACTTTCTATAAAACCAAAGTACTAAGAGATGTTGAACAAACATCAAAAGATGCAAAAAGTTGACGTTATTGGATGGACGAGCCTTTTTTTTTACTATGATTCAAAAGCTATGATGTGAACATCCCGATGAACTTAAAATCTAACTCAAAAGAACCAAACTGATGTGTATATTGCACTGTATTTTGCTGTATATACAAAGAAAAGTTACCAAAAGGAAACAAAAATTACAGAACGAGGCAATTGAAATTGATTCATCTCAACATATTGCCTTGCCCCATCAGAACTGTGTTGAACATACAGAGATTGATCCTTAGGGGAGAATTTGTAATCATTTCAAAAATCATAATCTATATCTGATATATTATGAGAGATCGATTTTTTGACTAGGTGCCCTTGCTCATCGTACAGATCCAGGTTTTCACAGGGAGCTGGGAATACTGTCCCTGTAACACGACCTTCAACAAAAGCACACTGGAATATATGCTTCTTCTTATACGTAATCCCTACCGACATATCCCGAAAACTGACATTTCTGACTGGAATTTCTTCACTACCTTGAATACGGACTGGCACACGAACTCCCTCGCCATGTATTGAGCTGTAACTTATGTCCTCTAGAATTGGAACAGCCTTAGGGTCAAACCCTGCATCTGGATGTTCATTGTAATCTGTTTTGATGACGATCCCCACGCGAACATTATCAAATGTCAGATTTCGATAAATTATATTCCGAACATGTCCTCCTCTTCCAGGGGCTGTCTTGATCCGAACAGCACGTCTTGAGTTCCAAACGAGGACATTCTCCACAATGACATTTGACACCCCACCAGACATCTCACTGCCTATTGATATGCCCGCACTGTTATTCAGGAAGGTACAACTCAATCACCATCTAAACGAAGTCCATGACACATTTTGATAGAGATAAACAACAAAATGTTGAACTAGGCAATCATCAAATAAAGAATTTGTAGATCTATAAGCTGATAAGAACTTGAAACTGGGCCACTAGGCAACTACAGATTCAGCCTGCAACCAGTAAAGAGAAATTGCAATCAAGGGTAAATGGGATCTCTCACCTGACCATTGAGCGAATAACAAGGTCACTGAAGGCCTTCGATAAGCAATCCCATATTGATCCCAGCCACTCTTTATTGCTATACCATCATCTCCCACGCTTATGTAACAGTCCTCAATTACCATATCTTCGCAAGAATCTATTTAACCAAATGAGATAATCCAAAAATAAATATATAGCTACAAAGTAAAGAAAAATATATAAAAAATATAAATGTCCACCATGATATCGACAGTAGAAGTATGGCAGGTTCCATTAATCGCATAGTCAAAACAATAAGACTCATCCATCCAATAACCTCATACAAGACAACAAAAGAAAAAACTTAATACCTGGATCTATGCCATCAGTATTTGGAGCTTCAAAGATAGGTGCCAAAATTGTAAGATTTCTAATCACCACATTCTTGCAGTCGTAGGGATGTAGAGTCCAAAAGGGAGAATCTTGTAATGTTATGTTAGATATCAGGATGTCCCTAGACCACATAATTTGCACGAGTGGCCCTCTGGTGTGGTTAAGAAGCTTCTGTCGATACTTCTTCCACCATGTTTGAGGCTGGCCATTAATGGTGCCGTTATACCCTGTTATCAGGAATGGTATATGTGCATTCAGATGAATAACATATAATTACATTTACACAAACCTTGGACACCCTAAAACCTTGACTATATAACTTTTAAACCCACCCATGGTTAGTAGAAAAAGGTTAATGCATCACCAGGAATCATTTTAAATTTATGGGTTTCTCTATGTGAATAGATCAGGCATGATCATCCATACACATGGCAAAAAAACAATTTTGAATTGAGACTTTTTGAGCTTCTTTTGCTCACAAAACTACGGCATCTTTGAAGGAAACAAACAAAGTCAGGGAGACAGAACAAGGTAACTGTGTTCCGTGTTCCACGTTGAACGGACATGGACAGAGTGAGGCAAGATGACACAGCCTTAGCACCAAGTTTGTCCAGCAAAAATGATAACTACCAAGTCAAACAATGACTTATTTCACACACAGTTTTCAATCTCAACAAGGTGTTGTAGAATTATATACTTCTCATTACCCCTTTAAACGTTTATAATAATCCCAACTTGAAACAAAAGATACAAATTAAAGATATCTGAGCACCAAGAGCATTGTGGGATTATTATTGTTCAGTTTATTTGCTCTTAAAGTTATAAGGTACACTTTACCTTTTAATACATAACATTTTTAAGTTGCAAGTTCCATTGTCGTGTCAGAATTTGCAATACCGCATCTATTTCTGATGTGGGAGTAGTATTTGTTCATTTTAGCTGGAGAAGTCACTTCCTCTTAGTAAGCTCTTTTAACAACCAAATGTAATCAGTGTGTATTTTACCTGAATTTAATATTTGATTGGACTAAAGTGAGGAAATTTAAGAATATACTCTTTCCACACTTCCCTCAAAACAAGCAATGATGCTCTTTCACAACCAAAGATACTCCATAGAGTTGGTATAATAATGCTAACACCAATGGTTCAAATCATAAATCTGTGCTTACCCGAACCACTCAACCCACCCACCCCCTGAACCAAAAATATATAAATAAATGAAAAACCTCCTCTCTGAAAAGAAACAATGAAACTCCCAAGTAAAAGCTCACCTGTAATAACAACATCTTTGAGATTTTGACCATGTATTAAACTTCCATATCTTGGTCTAGGATGCTCTCTTCCATACCCATACGAAGGCAATGGAGGCATCAGATGCCAATACTTCTCATCCTACAGAACTTTGCATATGGAAATGAGAAACAGAAAATAATATCATCAGTTACAAGAATGAAGAAACTTTGAAACTTCCATGACTTGTACAACTTTTAAGCAGTGTAAAAATCATAAACAACATCAAGAAATATTACATACAACATGTCAAATAAAGGACACCAATGGCTTATCTTCCAAAAAGCAGAGGACGCTAAATGTTAGAACATTGGTTGAAATCACCAAGCCATATGGTGCAAACTTATCAGTCATCAATGAGAATCAAATGCAGATATGCTATCTAGCATGGATATCTGAAACTCAACTTTAATAATCAACGGACAATTTTTTAACTACATTAAAAATCTTCCTTTTTAAAAAAAACCCTCTTTGCTCATACCATATACAATTCTTTCACACCTTCTAAGTATAGGAATCTAACCAATCTAATCTTTAAAAGATTGGGCATGGTGCTAAACAATTGGGAATTTGGATTCAAATAATAATTGACATTCTATCTTCTGCTTTCTTACTGAGTAAAACTGAATGAGTCTTACAGAGCTTTCCACTGGATAGATGTTATGAGATGTAAGGCGCTTGCGAATTTTGGGGCCACACAGTACGTTGAACAACAAAATAGAGAGGAGGGGGAAGAAAAAGAGGAGAGAGACTACAAAGAAGAACTCTCCTTCTCTATGTATGTTGTTGTTCTATGTATTATGCTGCATCATGATTTTATTCAGTTATTCTTTAGTTATAATCAAAAGCATTAGACATCAATCTTAAAGGAAATGTTGCAACGACATCTGGACGGTGTATTCTGCATATTGGAAGGTATACCCGTCCCACTATATCATGATCAGTTGTGAATTATCCAGCACCAATTAGTTTCATGTATAAACAGGACTCTCACCCATTTGCATGCAACCATTTAAATATTATACATCATCCTTTTTTTAGTGAAAAAATAAAAAGCAAAATCAAGGTGTCATTTTATCACCATATTTATACATGTGTATTGACATTTGTACTCTCCTCTCTTTTTAAGAATTTACCTTAATTAGAACGTGTGATGCAAAGAATGTCTCAATAGCAAATTTAACAAGAAAGCATGTAAAACTAGCATTTATGTAAGGGTGGTTCTACCTATAGTTATTTATGAAGTTACTTAGCCCGTGTTTGGAAACATAAGATTTATAAATGAATTATAAATGGACACGTGGAGGCCCTACATTGAATCCCTCTTGTTGACCTGCTGACACGGGTGTCAGCCTTTAGCAAAATGTTTCAAAATTTTGTCCCAAATTGCATCTGATAGACATTCGATTTTTTGTGTAATTATCAATTCCACCTTTGACCCAGTATTCAATGCACAAGGAAACCCATTGCAAGGGTAAATTGGTATATACAAATCCATGGTTTAGGGGCAAAAATGGTATGTAAATAAAAGGTTCAAATGCTGGCCAATAAATTGTTCATGATGGATTTATAATTAGTCTCCAAATGTAGGTTTATTATGCTTATAATTTTCTTCAGGATAATTCTTGGTTGCGCAATTGCAAAAATACAAACGTTTCTTTTATCGTTTCCAATCCTTAACAAATAACGTTTTAAATTTAGAATCTTTTAACAGTATTTGGAAGATTTTGCACCATATGCAAACTGTGCATAATCAAATAAAATAATGGCACGTGGAATCTTTTGTGCATACCTAAACAGACCCTTACTCATAGTCTCATATAAGAGTGCAGCAACCTCGTTAGTACATGTAAGAAAAGGGAAGCATAGACCAAAGGCAAAACTTACAAAGTTTGTGGTGGTTTCTAAGGATCTAGTTGCTCCGTATCTTCTGGATTTTATGCTCGAGTTCTTCGAAATAGTTGGAAAACCCGTGTCGGACACGACACGATATGGTATGGGTATGGAATATGTGTCAGAGCCTCCAAATTTCAACCGAACACTTCGTCGTTTTTGCTTCTTCTTCCTTCTTTTTCTTCTTTCTTTTTTTTTTCTTTTTCCTTTTCTTTCCCTTTTCTTCTTTCCCACTTTTGCTCTCTATAAACATAGCGTCGTCGCCAAGAGGGTGGAGAAAGGCGGTGACGCTAAGTTTTACCTTCTTTTTCTTCTTCTTTCTTTTCTCTTTCCATTTTCTTCTTTTTTTTTTCCTTCCTTCTCTCTCTGTATCAGTGGTTTAAGGTTTTTGTTCGTATAAAATGATAATGAGTTCCATATAGTGCTACATAGTGCTCTACTAAGTCTAAATTACAATAAGTTCCTCATTTTTTATTTTATATAACATTTAGTAATTCCTATAATTGAAAACTAAATCCCAAAATTCTATTTTATTCGTCTTAACCCCTTATTAAATATACATTTCCTTCCTTGTGAATAATTAATTTTGGTCTATTCAAAATGACATCTTGGGTTAGTAAAGAAATTGAAATTTGAAAGACGTACACACATATCCGTGTCTGAAATTTAGACTATTTTTAGCCATGTCCCCGTATACTACATTTTAAAAAATAAAAGATCCGACATTTAGATACGATATACGTATCTGTATCCGATGCCGAGCATCATAGTCTTCTGGTAAATCTATTAATGAACCTAAAATGGTACCAAAAAAAGGAATCATATATCTGATCCAAAATATGATGGGAAAAATGCTGAATTTGTTGTTGTTGAACATCTTCTAGCAATAAAAGTATGCCTAATGCCACTTTCTTGATTATTGTCATCAACTGGGCAAAATTCATATTAATTGCATCTTTTTGACAACCCTTGGATAGAAGATAACCTACATCTGTTTTGCCATGGGGAGAATTTAAGGTCATGAATCACAATGTCAAGATATTTAAAAACCCACTCAGTGCTAGGCTTGAGGTTAAATATGTAATGTTGACAGGTTCATCATAGATGGTTTATAAAACACAATTTCGCAAGATCTTTCAAGTTAAAAGGGGCAATACATGCAGACTGCATTCATTACTATATAAAACATGCCAGCATTGAGTAAATTTTATTATTGTAGCAACTTGAGAAAATTAAGACCCTTTGGCATTCAGATTACAAGATGCACCTTCAACCTTTTAAATATCCATATCATATCCAAATTCAGCTCACATTGCCTAAATGAATCGACTAATAGGATTCGATATCATATTGAAAGGGAACAATACATTTCTAAGGTGTTTATTTTACACCTTTTAAAAAATACAAAAACAAGTTCCAAACTATCTCACATTAGAAAAGGGGAATAATACATTTCTAAGGTATTTACTTTATACCATTTCAAAAATATAAAAACAAGTTCCATATTTCACAAATCAGGTTTTTTAATTTTTTTATTTATGAATTAACGAATTATTAAATATTTAATTCTAATATAATATAATTACCCAACCCACCTCCACCACCCCTACCGCTCCGGGGACTATTCCGGTCACAACTCATCTCCGGCGACCATTCCGACGACTGCTCCGATTCCAGCGACTTTCCGATGACCATTTCGCCACCATTTTGTTCCGGAGACTGCTCTGATTCCGGCAAGTGTTCCAACTCCGGCGAAATTTTTTAGGTTACAATTCAAAATTTTCATAGGTCATAATTTATTTATTGGTCACAACTTAAAAATTTTAAAGTCACAATTTATTCATCGGTCACAAGTCACAAAATCTATAAGTCACAATACTTATTTAGGTCACAATTTATCAAATTATTGGTCACAAATTAATAATTTTTAGGTCACACACATCATGTATTGGTCACATTTTATCTAATTCATTGGTCATATATCGTTTATTAGTCGCCAACCAACCAGATTAGTAGTCACAAACAACCAAATTATTTGTGAGCACCACCAACATCATTTGTGACCACCACTTCACCACCGTCTCCACCAGCAGCACCATCAACATCTCAAAACCAACACCACACCCCCCTAACACCACTATCACCACCTCAAGACCCCCATCGCCACACGCACAGTCAAAGCAAACACACAAATCACACACAGAACACATAACCACCGCCGCCAGCAACTTCAGATCCATAATTTGCAGCGCCACAGATAACCAAATACTAAGTCATAGATAATCACCGCGATACCACCACTACCATTGCCCGATCCCCAGCCAACACCACGTCACTGCACCCACGCACAAAATCCAACAACCCCGTTCGACAGAAACCACTACAGATCTGTAACCATTGGCAAAAATTAGCATACAACCACCACAACCATCCGATAAATCCAACTCGAAAACTAAAAAAAAAGAAAGGAAATAAAGATCTGCACCGTTTATGAAGATCTAGCCAGAGCAGCCTCCGCATCGGCGAGTCCAGATTTAGGTGGTTTGTTATTAGGGTCAATCTCAGAAAACGGTGCAGACCTGTATTAGGCATAGGCGGCGGATCAATTGGAAACAGAAGTAGCTCACGGCTTCTGTGAAGTGGCCGGTGGAAAACGCCGATAGTTGAATCGAACGACAGATGCGACGGTGGCACAGGACTGACTGTCCTTCTACAGTGGCGGCGGCTTGTCACCACCACGCTGTGGGCAGATTCAATAGATAGGAGGGAGGGAGGGGGGGAATGAATTTTAGGGTTGATTTGAGTCATTTTAATTGGGATGATAATTATATAATTAGGCTCTGTTTNATATTTGAACTTACTTGTTTGTCTTCCATTATTGAGAGAAAATTAGTGTAATGAATAGTATTTTTTGGAGAATGTGTGGTTGAAAATTAAAGTAACTTTATTGGTTTGTGTGTAGAATATTTTATTTGGTGAATGTGTGGTGACTGTATCAAACAATTTTTTTGATTAATGGTAGACAAACAGGGGCTAAATTTCAAAATCTGTAATATTTTGATAATGTAATTAAATCTAACTCATTCATATCCAAAACTCATAACAAAAAAAAAAAAAAAATTTAATCCAATTTCCATAAAGAAAATGATCAAGTCATTAAAAGGAACAGGGTCATATGGCTAGTTAGATTGAAAGGTACAGTAAGCCAATAGCCGGGCGGCACATTAAGCTGACTACCGCCCCTCTTCCTGAGCCTCGAGATGGCCCTAATCGCCTGCTCAAACGCCGCCGTGTTGACATGGACCCCATCGCCCACAGCCCCAAAGTCTGTCAAGTTAAACACCACAGGGCGGAGCTTAGGGAACAGCCGGGACGGAAATGTCCGCCTGAAGGGTAAGAGTCCACCGGTTGCGATATCCCACTGCCAGTAAAAAACAGTGAAGAAGAACGCCAACCAAAGGGCGACCAGGAAGGTTTTATGGGTTGATAAAAAATTGGTAAATATGGGGATCCAACGGCGATGGTGGTGATAATTAATGACTATGGCCCACCATCTCCGCCACCAGGATGATGAACTCGATGTGGGTGTTGACGTCTCCAACATTTTTTCTTACTTTTGTTTCACTGTTAAGCCTTTTTTGCTGGTTTATGAACTTGGAGTTTGGGCTGGTGTGTCAATGGCGTTAACACGATATGAGAATGCAAACAGAATGATCGATGAATCTGCAAGTTGGGAAATAGTTAGGTAAATGTAGGGTGAAGAATAGCAATCTGAATCCGCGAGAATTCGAGGAGGTGTAATCCCAACTCCCAGATGGTGATGAAGTGCATTGGAACGGAAGTGAGATTTAAAGTGCGGACAGAGAGAAGATATTCTCGCCAGTTTAAGCTTGTTGATTTATAATTAAATTGTTTGATTATACATTTTTCAATAAAATAATAATACATATAAATTAAAAAAAATCATTTTTTTTTCAACTACACATTCTCCAAAAATACTATTACAAAAATTATAATATGAAATAATGAGAGCCAAATGGGGATTAAGAACTTTTCCGTTGGACTTGTGAGTTGTGACTGGAGTACCATGAGAATTTTCGTACTACAATAACTTGACCAATTCAAAATCTTTAGACGTGAAAAAAGTTCAAATATGAGAACATATTACACAAATGCGATTTTAAATTTAAAGTTATTTTTCCATTTAATTCTATAATCAGGGCATGCTGGATCCGCCAGAAAAAAAAAATTAATTAAGATTTACAAACAATAATTATACATATATGTGTTATTGTAGATCTTCTATGGAAATCGTGTGTAGATCATTTGGCAAAGCAGGCTCCTTTTCACATGAGATTCTTGGGTTCAATTCCCATCAACAACAATATCTCTTTTAATGTTAAACACATTAAATAATAACTAAATATTAATTAATAATTGTACTTACATTCAATAAAAGAAGTGTAGCTCATGTAGTAGAATGATCATTTTCTGCCGTAGGAGGTATGGGTTCGATTCCTTTTAACAACATTCTCTCTTTCAATTTTTAAACACAATAAATAACAACTAAATATTAATTAATAATTGTACCAATGTTATACAAAAGATGTGTAGCTCATATGGTAAAAGGACTATTTTGTACAATAGATGTATGGGGTTCAATTTTTTGCTTTTCTACTTTTTGTTTAAATTTTTAATTTAATAAAAAATAACCAATCAATTATATATCTTGTTTGACATTCATTTTTTTCTCATTTTCTCTCTCTTTTTTTCTCTTTCATAATTTCAACCACACATTCTATTAATAAAATAATATTACACATAAATCCAACAATTTTTTCTTACTTTTTAATCACACATTTTCCATCAATCACTGTTCCAAATCAAATTCTTCTTCAAAATAGGTGTCAAACATAACCATTATTTAATTTTCGTTTTCGAAATATTTTTTTAAAAAACTTTATTAACTCAAATTATTACTTTATGATATATATATACTTTTATTGTTAAGTTTTATTAATTTATTTTAAAAAATTCAAATTTGGACAATTTAAGTATTATTCTTTATTCTTTTAAAAGTTGAAAAAATCTTTTTTTTTTTTTTTTTCTTTTGGGGTCGAAAATAGTTTTAGTTTTAAAAATCATTGTTTTCAAAATTTTGCATAACTTTCACCCAAACTCGGAGCTTATCTTTACCATTTAATCATGCTTTACGTAAAACTGTTTCATTTGAGTTCGTAAAAAACTTAAAACTTGATCGTAAATGTATGATTGAAAAATGTATTTTTATTATTATTTTATATTGTATTGGATTCTATTTTCAAATGTATATGATTTTTTACATTTTAGTGCATTTATATATTGATCGAAATTTTTTTAACATTATTTAATTAAATATTAATAAAAAATTTATTATTGTGGCTCAACGACCGCTCTAGCTAAGTTATTATCTTGGATCCGCCACTGTCTATAATGAGAACATATTACATAAGTACGGCTTTAAATTTAAAGTTATTTTTTGATTAATTTCTATAGAATTTATGATTATATCTAACTAGGTGCACTAGTTAATCTAGTTTGTGTCCAAGTTAACATTTAACAATATCACGTGAGATTTTTATTTAATGTTTTCAGCGTTTCCAGTAGAGTGATTGTTACGTAATCGTTATAAACTTGAGCGAGCACTACTATAAAAAAAAGTATATTTCAATGACCATACCGTTTCGATATTCTAATAAACTTCTTTGACCATTTCTAAAATTAATCCATAAATTAAATTTATCGATAAATATTTAAAATAAGAACTAGGATAAATTGTAGGATTTGTAATTTATATTGCACTTCAGTCTTTAAGTTTATTCAACTTGTATTGGTCCTCGTGGGTATCCAGTTTGTAAAATTTTATGATCCATTCGCTCTCTTTGTGGATAAGCCACAAGCACAGGGCTATACCAATATCACCTGCCAAATTAGCAAATTCAAACTTCAACAGTTCTAGTGGTTTATCCATGGCTTTAACCATAGCTTCCTCAGCACTTTCAAGCTTTCCAAGCAGGTCTCAAACTTCTTCTTTCCCACATTGTAAACTTAGCATTTGAATGCATTCTGTTAATGCCCTCAAATTTTATTTGCTTAAATTTCCAGTTGCTGTTTAAGTCATTAGTTCCATATAGTTTTTCAGGGAAATCCCAAGAAATTCTTTGGCGCCAGGCAAGGTTGCAGCAAAATTGCCAGGGAGATGGAAAAGTTTAAATGCTACGAAAGGAGGAGTGTCGAGCGTTTGTGAACCACTGCCTCCGGATAGGCCGCTGTGGTTCCCTGGCAGTTCACCTCCCGACTGGCTTGATGGCAGGTAACTCTTGTTATTTCAGTTAGTCATTCCAATTTTGATTATTGATGATTGAAAGAAATCTATCCGGCCTTATATTCAGAGTTTCAGACTATGTTGTCGGTTTTTTACCACATTCTCCATAAGACCCTCTTATCTATCCCTTCTCGGCTTAAGGACTAAAGAAGAACACGTCAGCAACAGAACAAAAACTGTTACACTTACATCCATATTATTTAGATATGTTGTTGATATAGAATTATCTGAAATTTATCATCAATTTTGCGTTGAATGGATATTTTACTTTGTGATTCTATGTTCTGCCATTAAGCATCATCAGCGTCAACAACAACAAAATAAACAATGTTTTCAATAAATTTGGGGTTGCCTATATTAATCGTTTTTCTCCACTCCATTTGGCATGTTAGCCAATTACGGGAAGAACAGAACATCTAGATACTTTGTAACTGTAATACGTCATGTTAGTTTTGGTCTATCCCGTCTCTTCACATTACTATACACACCTTATAAATTATGGAATCTAACATTAATCTTTTAAATGGATGTTGTATTGTTGTAGTCTTCCTGGAGATTTTGGCTTTGACCCACTGGGATTAGGTATGCATTTTATACTATTTAAACAATTAGAGAAGCATGAGATTGATAATTGAAGTGACAATGCTAGCAAAATTCATTGGTTTGGTGATATCATTCTAACTAATATAAATAAATATATTTTGTCTAGGTTCTGATCCAGAACTGCTTAAATGGTTTGCACAAGCTGAACTAATGCATGGCAGATGGGCTATGCTTTCTGTTGCTGGAATTCTTATTCCAGAATGGCTAGAAAGCCTTGGATTCATTGAGAATTTCTCATGGTATGACGCTGGAGCTCGCGAATACTTTGCAGATCCTACAACTTTATTTGTTGTGCAATTAGCCCTGATGGGGTGGGTCGAGGGCCGGAGATGGGCCGATATGATCAATCCGGGGTGTGTTGATATTGAACCAACAATCCCACATAAGAACAAACCGAAGCCAGATGTTGGTTACCCCGGTGGCCTATGGTTTGATCCCTTAATGTGGGGAAGAGGATCGCCTGAGCCAGTGATGGTGTTGAGGACGAAAGAGATCAAGAATGGGAGACTTGCAATGTTAGCTTTTGTTGGTTTTTGTTTCCAGGCCATTTACACTGGACAGGGCCCTATGGAAAACTTGATGTGCCACATTGCAGATCCTGGTCACTGCAACATTTTTTCGGTACTTATCTCAATTGCTTATCCTTTTTGAAAGTTTTTTCCCCTCAATCAAATGAAAGATTACATAAATCTTTTAAGAAAGTTCTAAATACAAGATCATTTTTCGATTTTCCTCGCTACTTCGGTTGTCCCACAGAAATTTATCGCATTCATACAACGGACTAAGGTCGAGCTTTTCATTTTATTTTTTCAGGCTTTCACATCCCAGTAGTCAGTCTGTGGAGAGGACAGGATTTCAAGAAGACACCAGGCTGCAGGCCAAGTTAAAAACAGGAAATTTGTTGAATCAAGAATTTCACACGTGCAATGTTAATCAATGTACATACCAAAAGTCAAGAAAATGTTTGAGCCTCTTCATTTTAACCCTCTACTCAAATCATGTTTAGGTTCGGAATGTCAATAGGGTCGGGCTTTCTATTTTTGGACATAAAATTCGATAATTTTACTCCAAATTGAAACTGAGCTAAGATTGAATTTGAACATGTTTAGCTAGATTTTTGGGGAGTCACTTGACCACGTTAATATTAGTAATAATTTCTTCAATAGAGTTGTAAAAATGGCTTATTATCACAATTTTTTTTTTCCTGCATTTTCACGTTTCATTGTGGAAAACTTCATTTTCATCAATGTTTATCCAATTTCTCAATTGAAAATGGTTAAATGACAAATATACCATTCTATTTAAATAAAATAAAGAATAAATTGCAATCATACTCCCAATTTTTTTCAAAAATGTACAAATATACTTCAAATATATTAAATTAAAAAATCAAAACAGAAAAGAAAAATCATCCCTCCCCTCTCGCCACAAAACGAAACTAGAAAATAAACCAGAGGAAATAGTGGAAGATGGCCGATTGACCCCGCCATCTTTCCACAATGGCTTGACTTTAAAAAAAAAAAAGGAAAAATCTATAAACTAGTTAAAAGTAATGAAAAATCATTTTTACCTTCACGTGATTTGGAAGAAAGAAAGGAGAGGAAAAACTCGTGTCTAAAACCGACGACCCATCCGGCCAAAAAATCGACAACCCAAACCGGAGATCGACATTCCTTTTAAAGAAGGTGAGTTTTGGAACTATTTTATGTATTTTACAAAGCATGTTCTATGTTCATTGAATAAATAAAACATGTTTTGTTCAATAATCTTTGTAGAAATTGGTTTAGGGTACATTTCTATGCATGAAATTCTATTTAAATTGTGGTTTGGGTGGCGGAGATCGCCATCCGTCACCGAAAATGGCGATCTCCGCCATTTGCAGCGACGAAGGCTGCAGCCTTCATCGTCTGGGCGTTTGGGCCGACGCTATAGACGATCTGGGAATCGGGCGTCTAGGCCCAGACACCGAGTTAACTGGGCCACTGGGCGTCTCGGCCAGACGGCCCAGACACCCAGTGAACTGTCCCATTCTTTTTATTTTTTTTATCAATTGGATTATTTATTTAATTGTTTAATTAATATAAACTAGATTATTTAACTGTTTATTGAACATTTAATTTTAAATATTACATAAATATTTTATTTAATTATTTATCTTAATTATTTATATAAATTTAAATTAATCAATATTAAATTATTTATTTAATATTTAATTGAAATAAATAATTAACAATTAAAGTTAACAATTACAAAAACAATTAAATGTTAAATGAATAATTTAATATTGAATAAACAATTTAAATAAATAATGAAATATTAAATTAACAATTAAAATATGAAATAACCAATTAAAAATTAAAATAATAAATAATAATATATTGTTTAGTTATAAATAACAAAATATTAAACATTCGATTGTTTATTTAATAGCCTAGTAATTATAATTAAATATTATATAAACAATTAATAAAATATTCAATTAACAATTAAAATAAGAAATAATGAAATAATCAATTAACAATTAAAATAAAAAATAATAAAATATTATTTAGTTATAAATAAGAAAATATTAAACATTCGATTGTTTATTTAATATTCTAGTAATTATACTTAAATATTATATAAACAATTAATAAAATATTCAATTATCAATTAAAATAAGAAATAATGAAATAATAAATTAACAATTAAAATGAAAAATAATAAAATATTATTTAGTTATAAATGACAAAATATTAAATATTCGATCGTTTATTTAATATTCTAGTAATTATAATTAAATATTATATAAACAATTAATAAAATATTCAATTAACAATTAAAATAAGAAATAATGAAATAATCAATTAACAATTAAAATAAAAAATAATAAAATATTATTTAGTTATAAATAAGAAAATATTAAACATTCGATTGTTTATTTAATATTCTAGTAATTATACTTAAATATTATATAAACAATTAATAAAATATTCAATTATCAATTAAAATAAGAAATAATGAAATAATAAATTAACAATTAAAATGAAAAATAATAAAATATTATTTAGTTATAAATGACAAAATATTAAATATTCGATCGTTTATTTAATATTCTAGTAATTATAATTAAATATTATATAAACAATTAATAAAATATTCAATTAACAATTAAAATAAGAAATAATGAAATAATCAATTAACAATTAAAATAAAAAATAATAAAATATTATTTAGTTATAAATAAGAAAATATTAAACATTCGATTGTTTATTTAATATTCTAGTAATTATACTTAAATATTATATAAACAATTAATAAAATATTCAATTATCAATTAAAATAAGAAATAATGAAATAATAAATTAACAATTAAAATGAAAAATAATAAAATATTATTTAGTTATAAATGACAAAATATTAAATATTCGATCGTTTATTTAATATTCTAGTAATTATAATTAAATATTATATAAACAATTAATAAAATATTCAATTAACAATTAAAATAAGAAATAATGAAATAATCAATTAACAATTAAAATAAAAAATAAAAAAAATATTTCATTTAATTGTTTATTTTAATAGTTTGTTTAATATTTAGTTACAAAAAAAAGTTTAGTAGTTCATGTCATTCGATTATTCCATCATTGCATTATTCGTTGTTCCGTTATCTGTTGATTATTGCGAATAATAGTTAATGTCATTCGGTTAGCTTAATTTTCTTATATTATGTTTTATCTATTATATCTTATACAAGATTCTAACATTTGAAATGTTGTAGGATAGATTACCATTTAGACGATGCTGTTAGACAGGTCTCAGGCAAAGTTACATCGAACTGTAACTTTGTCATATTTACAGCGGTATTAGATTTGCTTGACGAGGAGCATGCGGGCATATTGAGGCGATCCTGCTTATGGCCATTTTATTCGTTGCACGGCATACATTTTTCTGGGCAGCTGCTTGATGCTTTACTATGTTGGCTGCTTAAGCCAGTTGACGGAGATGCCCTCCGTTTTGATCTTGGGGGCAATGTAGTTACATTTTCTATATTCGAGTTTGCCTTCATCACCGGATTGAGGTATAGGGCGAAGAGGCAGCACATGCTCGTATTTCGAGAAACAAGAGGCTGTTGAATGAATATTTTCGTGGGCAGACGAAAGTGACTCTGGGGTAGTTGGTAGACTCATTCAGGGCATGCGACCATATGTCTGACAGGTTGAAACTGGGATTGGTGCTTATCCTCGAGAGCATACTCAGGCGTCATCACAGGAAGACGTTGATCGACGTTTTTCATTTGGACGTTGTTGATGACATTGATACCTTCAACAACTATCCTTGGGGGCAGAGATGTTTTATGGATACCTTACGACACTTCAGGAAGGGGTATTTGATGCCTAAGGGGGATAGACCCGAGTGCAAGTACGATGCATATGTCTTGCTGTTGGCTTTGCAGGTAAATGTTCGACATAATGAATTATCTATTTTTTTTATTAAATTCTATATATAATAATTGTAACTGTTGCATATATGTCGATGAGATGGGAGACGTGCTGCCCTCGGATGCATTACTGGCGAGCACAAGACAAGCCACTTGTAAAACAATTATCAGCTCTCATCGACAATCGTGAGGTACATATTATACATTTTGCAATTATCTATTGTATGTCCTTTTAAAATCTCGATACGTGGTCATTAACACGGTACAATGTCAATATGGTAGCTTGAACTCCTCATTGAGTTGACACCGTCGATAGAGGAGGAGGGTCAGAGTTACATGCGTGGCATGTCTATTCCGACCGCACCGGGCGATCAGATGCCTGAGTCCATCGTTGATCGGGATAGGGTATGTTCATTGAATATAATATGTTGATAATAATTTTTAATGTTATTTGTATAGGAGCGCGGTCCAGTGGATCGACGATGGTCTCCGCCCCCGTTGGGATGGCCTCCACCCCCAATGAGATCGCCTTCGTTGCCGATGAGATCTCCTCCTCCATCCAGGCACCTCCCTCGTGGATCTCTTGCGTACAATGATCTGTACAGACTTCTGGCTAGATTTATGGTGGAGATGAGAGAGGAGGTGGGCGCGCTATGAGGGGAGATGATGGAGGAGGTGGGCGTGCTACGAGGAGAGGTAGGGGCGCTGCGACGAGAGATAAGTGGCGAGATATCGAGTTTACGCCAAGATGTTGCAGTACTCCGTAGCCATGTATCAGACCTTGAGGTGCAGGTCGCAGCGTTCCGAGGCGATATAACAGAAATACGAGGGGGTGATAGATGGGATGACTGTGAGGGTGATAGATGGAGCGACTGAGAGGGTGGTAGACGGGGCGACTCTCTGTTGTGGCCAGATTCTACATTTTGGGAGGCGGCGGAGGTGACCCGATGATGGAGGTGGAGGTGGCCGAGGCGGAGGGGCTGGCAGACGGGGTGGTTAAGGCGGAGGGGTCGACGTAGGGACTGGCAGAGGGGTGCCTCCAATGACTGAGTAGGGGCTGGCCGAGTAGGGGATGACGTCGATTGTGACAAAGGGTAAGAGGTGTGCGGTTGACGTACCAGAGCAGGAGCAGGTGGTCGGCAAGAGGGCTACATTGCCGTCACAATACATCGTATCTCCCTTCACGGCTGAGGTGAAGAGGAGGACGTTCGTCGACTGGACGTACCATAATCTCTTCCGAGAGGTGGACGCAGCCAAATGGAAAGCGTTCAAGATGGAGTGGAGAAGAATTAGGCCCGGGTAAGTATTTTACAATTTTAGTTGAGTACGCTATGCTAATTAATCTATATTTCTTTTAACATTTTTTCTATTTTTTTAGAGATAGCCGCAATGTAGGGGGAGGACGATCTCAGAGGCCTATAAATGGTTTCACGACTCACCACTTCGGGGGCTTGGCTCGCCGACGATGTAAGTGACATAGTCATATTGTTATTTATTATGTATACATAATTTTTTTGTTTATGAAATGAAATAACTTCCTCTATTTTTATTGGTGTTTCCTGATATAGCATATCGACCTGGACATGGAATTATTGCGTGATCAAGCTCGAAGATATCCAAGATCATTCGACATTCCCGGCCGACTCATATTGAGCACGGAGTTCGTACGTGCCGTTACCATTGAGCATCAGTCTATTTAACATATGGGTCATGAGTACGTGCTGCTCGAATATATGGCCGAGTGGGTCGTAAGGATGTGGCCGAGTGGCGGGGAAAAGCCATGGGAGGGTTGTACGCATATATACATTCCAGTGATCGTGAATCATCACTGCATTGCTATTGAGATTGTTTTTGCTGACTCCACTATATTTGTGTACGACTCCGACCATTCATGTCTCATACATGGCCAGCTTGAACTTGGCTTGGAGCAACTTTCAGTGATCGTACCCTTGATGGCTGCCCGAGCCGGTTTGAGGGTGAATGACAGGCTAGCCATCGTGCGGGACATGACAATTGTGAGACAGTCGAGATCATAAGTATTTATATTTTTTTAACTTGGAAACTTAGTTTTTAGCTACACGGTACCGAACTAACACGTTATTATTCAATTGCAGGGGCGATTGTGGTATGTTTGCAATAAAATATATTAAATTTTTGAGCATAAGACATAAGGTTGATGAAATCAACCAATCATGGATACAAATTTG